GAACAGTTGTGAGTTCGATCCTCACTGGATGCCCATATACTTTCGGCCTTGTGCCACATCTAAGCCAGGTTAGAAAATCATTAGGGCCTCTCCAGCTGGTGTAATGGTTAGCAAGCTTGCTTCGCTTGATCTATTATGACTGAATAGTGAGTACAATATCTACAAAGTGCTCCACGCTTTCGGCGTTGTGCCACATCTAATCTACGTTTAGAAAATCATTTGGGCACCTCGTAGTGTAATGGTTAGAAAGCTTATCTTGCGAGATCACTTACGACTGAGTAGTGAGTTCGATCTTTACTGGGTGCCACATACTTTCGGCCTTATGCCACAACTAAACTGTGCTTAGAAAAGCATTATCTTATCAATTGAATTAGCTAACCAAGTGTACATGTTTTTAAGCATTTCACCACAAGCTAGACGAAAGCGCCACTAGCACGCAAGGTTGAAGAGGATGATGGTTTTGGTTAGGCAGATATAACCAGGTTTGAAAAAAAATATTTTGGGGGAGCTAAGTAACAGTGTTACAAAAATGACTATGAAATTTAATTATGTAATGAAACATTCAAGCAACGCTGAGCCTGGTCAGCACTTTAATATTTGACCGGTGGGATATGCTAGGTACTCTTAGCTACGTGACAGGCCTAGAAAGCCGGTGAATACATTCACTATTATTACATATACTAGCAGCGATATATGCACGTGTTTCTGAACTGTCAGGTCGCAAGACCTACCTGCAGTTGTTTGAGAGGTGTGAGTAATAATAATAATAATAATAATATATATATATATATATATATATATATATATATATATATATATATATATGCTATTAATGCATTGCTGTTATTATTGCATTTCTGTATATATATTTATGCTATTAATGCATTGCTCTTCAAGTACGAATTATGCTCTCCTGGCTATTGTCGCATTTCCTATAGAAGACGATAAAATATTTCCCTTTCTCTGCTGTCCGTTGACTGTTTATGGTAGGATTTCTGACTGATGCCAAATCGGTCAAGTCTCCAGTCCGGCTTGACGCAATCGGATGTCTAGCCACACTGATGAGCTGGAATACAGCGATAAAGTCTGACTCTGGATCACACACACACACACACACACACACACACACACACACACACACACACACACATATATATATATATATATATATATATATATATATATATATAAATATATATATATATAAAAATATTTCGCTTGAGGATGAAACAGCTTGATACTTTAATTCAATTTAATTATAATAATTATATTGAAGTTTTAGCCCTTGTTTTTGAAACATGACAACACTTATGGAGCGAAGAAATCATATTTTTAAGAAAAAATTTTAATATATATATATATAACCGTGTAGCGGAAAAAAAAACATATTTTAAATGAATTAATTTATAATACTAATGCTCTGTAAATTTACAGTGAGCACTATTTTGTAAAAATAAAAATATTTATCAGAACACCGGTTTATATATCTTACTGTTCTTTCTTTTTATTTAAATACATACATACATATATATATATATATATATATATATATATTAAGCACTTTACCCTAAGCAAGGCGGGTGTTCTACTAGCACGCAAGGGGTTACAGAGAGTAAGAATAAAAAGGCGTGTTTAAGGAAAGGATATAGAGAAGGACGGGGGCTCAGGATAAAGGCATCAGATGATGGCGATAGACATTATATATGAATAGTAGCCGATTATGGCTCTCCACTATTTCGTGTCCTTTATTGCTCTTAAGAAATGTTATCTTTTTGTTATCTCACTGCTTTGTTATCTATTTACTTGAAAGTAATCTTCTTATCTGCGCCGTGTCTTTCAATAATGATAGCAGAAACGGAAAAGGAAATCACAAAATCTCCCACAGAAGATAGCGACGGAGAGTGAGAAGAAAGGACTAAGTATAAACTACAAGAAAACGGATGAGCCCGAAATGCGATTTGAAGGTCGAGAACTCTAGAATCAAGCAGACGCGGAAGTTTACATACCTGGGAAGCGTTCCGAGAAAGGCCGTTAAGTGCAGAAGAACGACATAGACTACGCAAAGACCTTCGACAAAGTACGTCACAAGGATATGATGTTACTGCTAGCAACCTTGATATATTCGGGAAAGATATCAGAATAATCAAGAACCTATACTGGCAGCAAACAGTATGCATGCGCATAGGGAACGAGTTCAGTGAATATACGAAAATAGAAAGGGTTGTAAGGCAAGGATGCGTCTTCTCACCCGACCTGTTCAACCTATTCAGCGAGACAATCCTGAGATAATTGGAAACCTTATCGGGATTTAGAATTGGCAGCCACAATCTTAATAACATAAAATACGCAGATGTCACAGTACTGATAGCAAATATGGAAAAGAAATTACAAAATCTCTTACAGAAGTAAGAGACTGAGAGTGAGAAGAAGGGACTAAACTACAAGAAAACGGATGGGCCCCAAATGCGATCTGAAGGTCGGGAAGTTTAAATACCTGGGAAGCGTCTTGACAGAGGACGGTAAGTGCGACACTGAGATCTCTAGGTGTATATGGATGGCCAAGGATACATTCCAAAAGACGGGCAGAGTTCTGCAAGACAGGAGGATATCTTTGGTAACAAAGAAAAGAATACTGAACTGTTACGTGACATCTGTCCTTCTTTACGGCTGCGAAAGTTGGACGATTTCCTCAAAGATGAAGAAGAGACTCGAGGCGACGGAGATGTGGTTCTACAGAAGGATGCTGAGGATATTATTAACCGAGCGTGTGAGCAACGACGAGCAGGTTACAAACAAGGATGAGACTTTAACTTAACATCAGGAAGCGACATCTGAGGAAAGAGGGCTTGGAGAGTCTGATACTCACGGGTCGAATAGAGGGAAAGAGAGACAAGGCAAAAACACGTGACATACCAGGCGGACTCAAGGGTGGTGGAGAGCCATGATCACCTACGTCCTGAAAAGATATGGCACATACAAAGAAAAGAAAGTCCCTTCAGAACGCTGGTATGTATGGCTCTCCACAAATTTTCTGTCTTTTGTAGCCATTAATATATTTTATGTTTTTGTTACATCTCCCAAACTCTGTTCTACTAATTACATACTCTTATACTTACTCTATGTAAAGTGTCCCTTCACGACGTTGCCGTTTATGGCTCTCCACAACTTTTTCTCTTTTGTATCACTTCAGTTCTTTGCAGCAGACAGTAATTCAATGGTTGCTTAGTCATACTGGAATGTTACAAGTTTGCTTTGTCATGTTGACTCTGACAAGACTATTGTTAAAATATTGCACACATTAATAAACAAAAAAGTATTGTCACTCGATAAATGTCCTGTTTATTTAAGATTAAGTCGGATTAGTGATGACGCTATGAGATTTATAAACACATCTTTGCCAGAGATGGTAATTGTAATTTAGACGCCAGTTCACCTAAAGATTTCTTTTCCTAACCAGACGATGCTTTCAGACCACTGTAATCTAAGCCTCTTTAAGTCTATGTTTAACTGTTATTTTCACTTCATCTCTATTTCCCTGGAAAACTTTCAGACAATCTGCATTTTTTTAGTTCTCTCAACCCTACCAATCTCAGCTAAGTACTAAGAGACAAACCAGTTCTAAAACAGTTGCGTACTGGACATATGTGCTAAGGACAATTGGTACCAGACAAGTGTGTCTCTGGACATTTGCATCCCTGGTTAATTGCGTACCCCTGATAATTTTTACAAGCTTTTAAAGGCAGTTAGTATAAATTTTGAAAAAAAAAAAAGATCATAGGTAGTAAACACAATTTTTTAAAAAAAGAATAATTTTTTAAAAATTAAAAGTTTATTTTTTTTTTAAATACAATGACAGATTAATAGTCTTCCAAAATCTTTCTACACATTGCCAGTATGTTTTTGTTTCATCGGCGTTTTACTTATGATAGTAGTAGCTGTAATTTGCATCATCTACCAGTGTTTGATTTTTAGAACTTAGTCATGGGTTCGAAATTCAAATATAATCTATTAAATCCCGACTCAATTAGATGTTTGTGGTACGCACTTCTGGAGTGAACGGAAACTGCTAGCTTAATTTTCTTTGCTTTAAAAAAATATTTATTCTCACTTTTTTTTTATTTATAGTAACTAACTTTCTGTTTGTTTTGAGCACTTTAAGGTATTGGTGTGCGAATTTCTATATTAAACTACTCTTTAAGAAAAAAATGGCAACTTGAATATATTATTAGATGTACGCAATTATCCAGACGTTTGTCTAGAGAAAGCAAATGTCCAGCGACGCAATTTTCTGGTACGCAATTGTCAGAGACACAAATGTTAAGTATGCAATTACCCGTCCTTCGACAGGAAACACCTTCATTCCTTTCAAATTGCTTGAGGAAGAAATAAGTTTCATTCGGATAGAATCCTCATCAGAATTGTTGTTTTGGTGAAAATAATCCAAGGAGGATGCTTTCCTTACCACTGTGGATGTCTTCAATGCTAGAATTAACTGTTCTCTTTCCTATGTCACTATTTCCGTGGCAAATAATGAGATAAGCTACCGTGAAAATGGCAACTTGAATATATTATTAGATGTACGCAATTATCCAGACATACGTTTGTCTGGAGACGCAAATGTCCAGCGACGCAATTTTCTGGTACGCAATTGTCTGAGACACAAATGTCAAGTATGCAGTTATCCGTCCTCCGACAGGAAACACTTCATTCCTTTCAAATTGCTTTAGGAATAACTAAGTTCCATTCGGATAGCATCGTTATCAGAGTTGTTATTTTGGTGAAAATAATCCAAGGAGGATGCTTTCCTGACCATTGTGAATGTCTTCAAAGCTAGGATTAACTGTTTTCTTACCTATGTCACTATTTCCATGGCAAATAATGAGACAAGCTAGAGTCCTTATTTCTCTCGACAATAACTGTTACAGTTAACCGTTATCTTGCCCCGATATCTGCATAAAGTAGGCCTCTTAATAATTAATTTACCGTTCACAAGGCGTAATTTAGAATATGGAATGGATGAGAGAATAAGGAAGAAGGAAAAACGGAGAGGAATCACAAAGAAAAAAGTAGTGAAATTGAATAATGAAAATACCGATTCGATGAATGAATAAATTAAGTAAGGAATAAACTGAATGAAACATTAATAAAAAACACAGTGAAATGAAAAAATGAAATATACGGATTGATGAAAGAATAAATTAAGGAAAGAATAAACGTAAGGAAACGTAATTAAAAAAAAAAAAGACTTAGTGAAATCGACAAACGAAAATACGGAGAGGATGAATGAAAAAAATTAAGGAAAGAAAAACGCTAAGGAAACGTAATAAAAAATGTTATGATATGACAAAAAATGAAAAATACGGAATTGATTATTGAATAAATTAATGAAAGAAAAACTGGAAGGAAACATGCTTAAAAAAATAGTGAAACGGAAAAATGAAAAAAATACTTAATGAATAAATTAAAAAAGTAAAAAAAGTAAAGGTACATAATGAAAAAAAAAATGAGTCACTTGAAAGCTAACTAAACACATTAGGAATTCCTGAAAAAAGAAGAATGAGAAGAAAGAATGAAAGACTAAAAGAAAGAGTTGGAGAGCGGTCAGAAAATGAAAAAAGGAAAGAAGAAAAACTGACAGAATAGAATATTGAAGGAAAGAAATATATTAGAGAGAAGGAATAATTAACATGTCGCTGATAAGAAAAAGTGGACGATAATATAAATGAAGTAAATCGAATGAAAGAAGGAGTAAAAAATGATGAAAGAATGAATGAGCGAATGGAGAAAGGCACCGAAATGAAAATAAAGAGGAAGGAAAAACTAATGAAAATACGAATTAGACGAAAGATGGAAAAAGGAATGAAAAACGGGAGCGATACACGACGAAAAAAAAATATTAAAATGGAAAAATGAAAATTACAGATTGGTTGAAGGAATAAATGATGTTGGAAAATAGAAAGGAAAATGAAAAAAAGGTAATCAAATGGAAAAAAATACAAAATGGATAAAAGAATAAATTTAGGGAGGCAAAACGGGAACGAAACATAATGTAAAAAACTAGTGAAGTTGTAAAATGAAAAATACGGAATAGATGAAAGAAAAAAATAAGGAAGGAAAAACTGGATGAAATCAAAATGCAAAAAAAGAAGTATTGAAAAAAAACCAGAAAAATGGGGATTGGATAAAATAATAAATTAAGTAAAGTGTACGGGAAGAAAACGTAATGAAAAAAAAGTTATGGGAAAATAAATATATGGAATGTAAGAAAGAATAAATTAAGGAAGGAAAAACGGGAAGGATATATAATGAAAAAAAAAGAAATACAATGAAAAAATCAAAATAAAGAATGGATGACAGAATAAATGAAGAAAGGAAAATAATTAAAAAAAGGTGTAAAATGAAAAAAAAATGAAATTACAGAATGGATGAAGAAATAAATTATAGGAAGGAAAAACTGGAAAGAAACATAATGAAACCTAGTGAAATAGAAAATGAAAAATACGTAATGAATTACAGAATAAATTAAGGAAAGAAAAACAGGTATGAAACAATGAAAAAATAATGAAACTGTAAAATGAAAAATCTGAATGAAAGAATAAATTAAGGAAGGAAAAACTGGATGGAATCATAATGAAAAAAGTATTGAAATGAAAAACTGAAAAATAGGGATTGGATAATGAATAATGTAAATAGTGTACATAATACCTCATCTCAGAAATATAGACAGATGCTGAAAGGCCGAAACGTTATAACAAATATGGCGACAAAGGTGATGACAATAGTCCGAATAATATAAATAGTGTACATAATACCTCATCTCAGAAATATAGACAGATACTGAAAGGCCAAAACTTTATAATAAATATGGCGACAAGGATGACGACAATAGTCCGAATAATGTAAATAGTGTACATAATACCTCATGTCAGAAATATAGACAGATGCTGAAAGGCCGAAACCTTATAATAAATATGGCGACAAAGATTAGAACAATAGTCCGAATAATGTAGTGTACATAATACCTCATCGCAGAAATATAGACAGATACTGAAAGGCCAAAACTTTATAATAAATATGGCGACAAGGATGACGACAATAGTCCGAATAATGTAAATAGTGTACATAATACCTCATCTCAGAAATATAGTCAGGTACTAAAAAGAATATTTTAAAAATCCTACATTCATCTATACAGACACAGGCCCCCGTTTCCGCCCTCATGCACAAACTTTGGCATGTTCACTGACAAATATGCTCTTTTTTTAAAAAGAAGAAATTTGTATAATGGAAAAAAAAAGCGCCATCATACTTAACATCGAAAGATCATCAATTATGCCGCGAATATTTCAAGAGAAAGAAAAACTTTAATTCAGCTTTCGAAACACCTATGAATCTCATTAAGGAAATCTTATTAGAGGATAATGCGTACTCTATCTAAATAAATAACTATTCGACTTAAATACAACATTGAATGAATCGAAAGAAATAAAACGTACAAAGAACACATAAAAAAGCGATTTCAGAGGGTTTCTCTGACTGCAATAGTCTTTCGCCAAAATGTCCCTTTTGATTGCCAGAGGTCAAAACGTAATATTGATTTGAAACGCCAAGCTTTTTTTTTTCCTAAATGATTGTTTATATGTTATATTTTCAATAAACCTTTCACAGAAAAATTACGTTGACGGTAGGATTTTTCATTATTATCATATAGACACCAGGTATCAGTTATTTGCGTTAAAAATAACGAAAAAGTATTGGTTGTAATCGTGATGGCAAAAAACGCAAAACACAGATAACTAGAGGTGGGTGTCATAATAAAAATCGCCAACTACGATTTTTTTTTCCCAGTGCTTGGCAATCAATACGTTAAAACAGTCCAACGAAACTTAATCTCGCAAGCGGTTGACATAAGTTTCGACTGCGAGCGTAAATATAACTTCATAAGGAAATTGCAATCCGGCCTAGTCGATCGATATCTCTTAGAAATTAACGGCTTCGGTCGACTGCCATTGGTCAAGATTTATGGGATTTTTATCAGATGTTGTCACATGCCACCGATTGGACTACCGTATCACTTCATAGCTTAGTCAGCTAGTCATTTTCCCGACCGGAACTAATATCATTGAATCTCTTTTGAAAAGACAGTCTTCTTCTTTTATTCTTCCTTTACTGTCCCCGACCTAAGTTGGTTATTTAGCATCTGTTATTGAGAAGCTAAATAAAGGGAAGGAGATTATAGACTGCAATCAGGAAGGTCGTTTACTGGCAGATCAATCTTTGATATTGCTCTCTGCTTTTTCTAACTATTCCTCTTATTCTATTCTTCTTCCAGTTTTGGTTTGATCATTTTCATTCCTGTCATGTTTCGCCTTGTTTTTTGTTTTTTTATCTCCATCATCCAGTTCGTTCTTAATTTTACTCTCTTTTTTTCTTTTTTTTCTTTTACTCTTTTTAAATTGTATATTTTTTTCTTTCTTTTACTTCCGTTAATTCATTTTTGGTCTTGGCCTTCTTTTTTCTTCTCTCTCATATTTATAAATTCCTTTATACGATTCTCCAGGTATTCTTCCGTCTTTCTTTCTGTTTTTCCTTTCTTTTTTCTTTCTTTCATCCTTCCTTTCTTTCTTCCCCTATTTCTTTATTTCTTTTTCTTTCTTTCTTTCTGTCTTTCTTTCTTTATTTTCTTTCTTTCTGTTTTTCTTTCTATTTCTTTCTTTCTTTCTTTCCTTCTGTTTTTCATTCTTTCCTTTTTCCATTTCTTTCTTTCTTTCTTTCTTTCTTTTATTCGTTCTTTCTATTCTTTCTTTCTTTATCGCTTTTTTTCACGTTGTATTTTTTCTTTTTCTTAAACTGTGCCATTCGATTGTTTCTTTCTTTATTGATTTCTTTCCTTCTTTTATACTTTTTCTTTCTTTCTTCCTTCCTTTCTTTCTTCCTCTATTTATTTTTCTTTCTTTCTTTTTCTGTTTTTCTTTCTTTTCTTTTTTTATTTCTTTCTTTCTTTATCGCTTTCTTTCTTTCTTTCTATTCTTTCTTTCTTTATCACTTTTTTTCACGTTGTATTTTTTTTCTTTTTCTTAAACTGTGCCATTGGATTATTTCTTTCTTTATTGATTTCTTTCTTTCATTCTTTTTTCTTTCTTTATTTTATTTTTTATTTTCCTTAAACTATGCCATTCAATTCTTTCTTTATTAATTTCTTTCCTTTTTTCTTTCCTTCTTTCTTTCTTTCTTTCTGTTTTTCCATTCTTTCTTTTCTTTGTTCTTTCTTTTTATCAATTCTTTCTTTCTTTATCGCTTTCTTTCACGTTGTATTTTTTCTTTTTCGTAAACTATATCATTCGATTCTTTCTTTCTTTTTTATTGATTTCTTGATTTATTTATTTCATTCTTTCTTATATTCCTTTCTTTCTTTCTTTCTTTCTTTCTATCTTTCTTTCTTTCTTTCTTTCTTTCTTTAGTCCTTTCTTTCTTTCTTTATCGCTTTCTTTCACGTTGTTTTTTTTTCTCTTTCTTAAACTGTGCCATTCGATTACATCTTTCTAATAAGCAGTGTTAATCTTTGTCTTCATCTATACTTTCGTGTTTTCTTTCTTTCTTTCTTTCACCTAAACAAAATACTATGAAACTATTAAGGATGCATTTCTTTATAAAGAATTACCGACAATACAAGAAAGAGGAAAATAGAAATATTAAAGAAAAAGAACTGTTTTAAGAAAATAAAGAATATTCTGAGAAAAATAGAGAGAAAAAAAAAAACAAGAATGGCAAACAATATTTAGTAGAAGCCATAAAATTGTTTTCAAACTATGTGGATTACGGCATTAAATCAGATAAAAGCCATACGTGATACACATTTGGGCGATCGGGTATCTTTTGATACAGGACTGACGAGGCAGAATTTGTTCCAGAAGTACGTTGCCATTTCTTTGACAAAACAATCCAGTCTGATCTGCTATTCAACCCATAGCTGGGGGAAAAGAGATGGATCCATGCCTTCTCAAGGGTATTTGTGCGTATGTGAATCTAATGAAGACGATTACCCGTAAAGTATTAGATTACACATAGAGGGTGATATCCTAGGTAACAATATCAATCTACCAGAAAACTAAAAATATTTTATGGCTTTAAAAAACCTGGAAAGGGTCGGTAAGCCGTAAAAAAAAGAAACAATAGAATCAAATGTCTATTCGTATCTCGGTTGCCGCATTATCCATCATCTTTTAAGACAACGCATATATATATATATATATATATATATATATATATATATAAAGACATTTATATGTTTATATATAAAAAAGTTTTTTTATAGATACAAATATTTAAGTAAATGTTCTGTTTATAAAAAAAGTATTAACGACATTTACCGGCCTGAATGTCCGAGAAATTATCAAATATTCGTCCTCAGACAGGAATCGAACTTGTATCCAATAATAAACCGTCATATAGTCTGACGTGCTTTACCGATTTAGCCACAGAGGAGGGTTTCGGTTAAGAGGGTCGATTTTACTGTTTATTATTTTCATATATTAAAACAATTAGTGGACTTTGTGCATTTCTTAAGGTATGACGTCATTTGTTTACATTTGGATACGCATCGAGGAGATATAAATGTACGTGAGAAAATCGTGGATAATTATAGTTTAAAAACAGTAAAATCGACCTAGTTAACCGAAACGCTCTTCTGTGGCTAAATCGTAAAGCACGTCAGGCTATATGTCGGTTTCTTATAGGATACAGGTTCAATTCCTGTCGGAGGACGCATATTTTTTATGAAAATTTCTCGGACATTCAGGCCGGTAAAGGTCGTTTATACTGTTTATTATTAAAAAAAAAAGCATTTATTTAAATATTTGTATCTCTAAAAAGAATGTATAAACATAAAAATTTCTTAAAATACTTGTCCATTTCATAACGTGTGACGACATTTGATTACATTTGGATACGCATTGAGCAGATATGAATGTACGAGAGAGATTCGTGCAAGATTGTAGTTTAAAAGCAGTAAAATCGGCCGAACGATCCTATGTGGTTCAATCGGTTAAGGCACGTCAGGCTATATGACGGTTCCGTATAAGATATAGGTTCGGTTCCTGTCGGAGGACGAATATTTTCTATGAAAAATTCTCGGACATTCATGCCGGTAAATGTTGTTTAATACAGTTTATAAATAAACAGAGCATTTACTTAAATTTTTGTATCTATAAAAAGAATGTATAAACGTAAAATGTCTTAAAATAATTTTCCGGACTTTGTCCATTCCATATATATATATATATATATATATATATATATATATATATAATTTGTACAAAGAATTAAATACAAATGTTAATAATACATATAAAAAGAAAATGTCATGGATTTATATCTTTTCAAAATTCAAACTTGATCGATTTGAACAAAGACTCTAGCGTCGTTCCAAAACATATAATCAACTGTCAAAAATAGCATAATTTAAAAAAAAAAAAAAACATTGTTTGGTCTACACATATTTCTCCTTAGTGTTTGCCTATGTATGGGAAAATTGCGCTCTGAAGATGACAATTTGAAATTATCGAAACTATTTGACATGTGTCTTCCATCTGAGAACAACTCGAATGCAAGCATATTATTATTCCAGGAATTGATAATAAGTTAATGTCTCATTAAGTCCTATTAGCGAAGTGATTTCGACATTAATAACATTACCATTGCTATTTAATTATATGTATCCATTTTTCTATATGTAATATATATATATATATATATATATATATATATATATATATATATTACTTCAGGTAGATAATAAAATTTCTAAAGAGTGAATACTACTGCTGCTGATGCAAGACTCTTTATTAAGACGAATCGAGTTCTCCAGTCACTGACATGTTTATCTGAAAATATCTGGTTATATATATATATATATCATTATACGTCGAAAATGACAGGAGAGTCCATCATATATATATATATATATATATATATATATATATGAATCAAGAAAAAAATCTTAAAAATTCATTTCGGTTATAATTTATTTTCTGATTATTTCTATATATTAATCTCTTCAGAACGAAATTTCTCAATAGAAATTATTTTTTAGAAACTCGAATAGGAATGGCCTCGTCAATCAAGCCAAGCCGAATAGTGACTTCAAGCGCAAATAACTTCAAAGATTCTCGAATAGCTGTTCAGTTTCGTATCTTAACATAAACAAAGCAATTTCTAAATAAGTGATGGAATTGTATT